TTTTTTAAAGTCTTCACACTGGTTCGCATTCAAGAACTTGTGTCAGGTTCATCTCTTCCTATGCTTTCACTTCTTCTCTAAACCACTGGATGATCGTTACTTGTGTTCCTCATTTGCTAGTCCCTTTGATAAGAGTGATAATGAGTAAGTGTTGAGGTCCACAGAAGCAGAAGCACTGACCCGCTGGCCCTCCTGCAGTTTGCGCTCAGCTGTGGTGGTCAGGGTTCCTGTGGTGCCCGTCACTGGCAGGTTCTCCTGGAGACGCTTCAGTTCTGAACGAGAGTGTGGATTTAGTTGTAGAAAAATGATCTCGGAATCGGTTATTTCTCCTCCTTTTCCACCTTACCCAGAGTTTTCAGGCGCAGTTCTGTGTGTTTCAGGTCCAGCTCAGCTCTGCACTGCTCCAGCTCGGCTTTACACTGCGTCAGCTCCACGCTCTCGTGATCCGCGTCTCGCTTGTGTGTGGAAGCCAAGCGCCGGGAGCGCCGTGGACCGCTGACGTCACTCAGAGGCGGGAAAATGGGAGCCGGGGCGATGTGACCCTCTTCGTTCTCCTTCAGAGCTGCTGCAAGCTCTCGGATCTCTTCGTCTCGCTCCTTCAAGACAAGAGTAAAACCATCAACAACTCAGCCAGGAATGGTCAGAGTTATTATAGATCATCGTCATTGCTCTAACATCACGGACCTCTAGCTCCTGGCTGTAATATTTCTTCAGGCTGCTCTTCAAGTTGTTGAGTTTGTTCTCGCATCTCTTCTCCATCAGATCCCTCTCGGTTTCCAGCGTCTCGCTGCACAAGGAAAGAACTTAAAACATCCAAATGTACCACAACATCTTACTCCTCTTGATCCACAGAAGCGCTGTAGAGGTACCTGAAGTCCTCCTGCATGCGGCTGATGACCTCCATCATCTCAGCGCAGACCTGCTCTCGAACCGTGGCCTCCAGCTCCTCTTTCTCCTGCCGCTGACGCAGCACTTCACGCTTCAGAACGTCGATGGCCTTCAGCAGCGCCTGCCCAACATGCAGAAAACAGCGCAGTTACAGATAAACATCTTTACGCTGTCAGACCAATAAAGTGTCCGAGACATTCACATGAAAAATAGTCATCAACAGAACGGACTACATGTAAACTGGATTCCATAATCCACAAATTACATTAAAATACTCCTAATCAGATTACAGTTACTTTATTGATTAGATGCACACAATAGCAATACATTTAGAATAGATTCTCCCCAATTATTCATCTTTCAAATGTTGCTTTCTAAAATATCCTACTGCTTACAGCACACTCAGAAAGTCTGTCAGTTTTGTGGACATTCACACAGAGACC